TCAGCATTTGACCCAGCTCTTCCATCCCTCCTCCCCCGTGTTCCTGCTTTACTTGGCCTCCAGCCAATCGCTCTGCTTTCGATCCACGGACTGGTCTTTTGCCAAAGTCTCCTCTTTTTTCCAAACATTTACTGCGAATGTGCCCCGGAGTTGGGCCCTGGGTCTCTCCACTATCTCTCTGCTATACCTTTGGTGGAAGCAACCCAGCCATGGAAATTGACATGCCATCAATTTCTCAATTTGTCCAAAACTCCCTGATTTGCCCTTTCCATTTGGAACTCTCTCTCTGATACTCATATTCTTTTTCTTTCATTCATCTAGCTTTCACATTCATACATATGTTCTACTATTAAATTACTTTTCCAAATTTTGAATCAGTCCATACATATCATGTAAAATGCTCAGATCGCTATTATTTCCACTAAGATGCTTATTCTACCTTAGAACCTTTCTGCATTTCTGTATTTATGTCAATAACATGAATAGTATTTCTACAAGCCTCATAGTTAAACAGTGTGTTTGGGGCTATTATGTAACATGAAATAATGATACATCAACATAGACCTTTTTCATTTATTTTTATGTAACACCAAGATGAGGTTTTTGCACTGAAGACTGGTTTTATTGAAATTTTACCTACGTTATGGACAGTCAGTTTATGTGAAAGCCCTCATTTCTCCCCTTTTCTGATATATTTTCCATTTGGATATTATAACATATACCTCGGCATGAATTAAAATTTCAAATTCATTCACATAATAAAATTAATACATTTAAATTATATTTTTTTTAATGTTAAAAAGAAAGGGAAAAAAAAACCCAGACTCCTCTACCTATTAGGCATTTGTGTGGCAATATCTAATAGGCTTCTTAACCATAACATTGAAGAACTGAGCTGATTCCAGCCCCTTTCTACCTGCTCAGCCCGATCTTGTCCCATCCCCTGTGGATGGAGAGGACATCCATCCCATTTTCCAGGTCTAGATGTTGGAACTATGTTCTTTCTCTCTCTTTCTCTTACACACACACACACACACACAGCAAAACCAGCTTGTTAGAAAATTCTGGATACTCTGTCTTCATTAACCACCTACTCCCTGCCCCCTGCCCTCCTAGGAGCCACCTTCAGCCCCTTCTTGGACACCAAATAGCCTTCTTCTTCCATCTTTGCTTTTCTACAATATCATCCACACAAAGTCGGAGGGAGCCTATAAAACCAAACATTGAGGGGATGGGTGTAGCTCAGTGATAGAGTGCATGGTTAGCATGCATGAGATCCTGGGTTCAAACCACAGCACCTTCACGAAAATATATAAATTACCCTCCCCCCCAAAAAAAACCATAAAATAGCATAAATTGGACATCACCCATCCCACCAAAACTCACTAAAATGGTCACCATTTCATTAGGAGCCAAAGTCGTCCCAAAGTCTTCCAGGACCCGGCATGCTCTGCCTCTCCACCCACACTTTCCCCATCACTCTGGGGGCCTCTGGCTCCAGCTCTTCCTTCTTTCTCCGGATCTATTCTGCTTCAAGTTCATTACTCCGTGAGATCTGCCAGGATTGCCTTATTCCCTCCTGCCTGCCTCCCACCCCACCACCATCACCTGAGTTTGCTCATATCACTCTTATTTTTCCCCAAGCTCTTGCTACCCCCAACATGCTTCCTGTTTCCTCTGCTAAAATTCTGAGCCCCCAGTGATGGGGAATCATGTCTAATTTGTTGACTGATAAAGCCCAAGACCCTTGGGAACGGGTCTAGTTACTAGATTCCCATACATAGTAGGAGCTTATACAGATTTGCTAAATGAATGCAGAGGCCCTGGTCCAATCCAATGGAGCACTTCTGTGTCCTGCTCAAAGAATAACTCTCCTTTCCTCCTGAGAGGGGGTGGCCACTTCCTTGGTGATCAAAGGCAAGATCTATTTTCTTTATGCTGTTAACCTTAGGCGGGGAGACTGGGGGATCTTTACTTATATTTTAAAATTTTATTCACTCTTCAGTTTGTCTTCTTTGAGAAACCGTTTATGAGTGATAATTCTTCCATCAGATTGAACACGATCCAGTGGGAAGTACCAAGCTTGTCCCATCGGCCATCCTGTTTGTCATGTCCTGTGACCCAGTGGATGCTCAGCATGTAAGTGAACCGACAGAAGTGAGTCAAGAGATGGGATCATCTCCTTATTGTGGTGGCTGCACTCTGCCCGATGCCTTGAGATTTGGGGAATGGTTTACAAGTGCGGAGGTGTGAGGGCAGGGCCTCTGTGCTCTTCCTGAGTGCCCTGGACTTACCCATTCCCCCAGCCCCCTCTGGGCAGCCAAGCCCAGGAACTGGGCCACCGGCGATTGTGCTGATCAATAATCCACCTTCACCCCAAGTCCGGGGGTAGGAGCGGCCAGCACACCTGATTGTAGACTCTGGAGTCAGGTCCTTGGAGGATTTCCTCACTGAACGATGTTTTGGACCTTTTATGTTTCTCTATAGCCTTCAGCTGAAGGAGCAGATTGCCTTAGATACATGAAAGTTGAGGACACCTACTATCCCCATGGAGCCCAGGTGGGGCTGGGTGTCTGCTGTTTGTACAGCCCGTGGGCTTGTGTTGCTTTGGGCATCCCTGAGCCTGAATTCTTGCAGTACACTCGGTGGTAAGGACGGGGGTGCCTGACTGGGAGGGAAGCGTGTCGGGAGACTGCACAGCTGGGGAGACGTTAACGTGGGGTGAGCGGGAGCCAGCTGGTGCATGGAATCTTGGTGCGGGGAACTCTCCACACTCAGAGAGGTTCCCACTCTCACAGGGTCCCTTTGATCAGGGTGCTGGGCTGTCAGCACAGCAGGGTCCCTATGAGGATCATGGTGCCTTCAGGCAGTGGGAAGCAAGGGGTCCAGTGGCACTTACATTAACTGTGCACCTGAAGCCAACCCCCATCTCTTTCAGCCTGTTTCCTAATCTGCAAAACTGGAATGATGTTAAACATCCCGCAGGTTCGTTGATGGGCTGGGACACACTAGACCGCCAGGAGCTGGAATTCCTCTGTCCCCTGATTGTTATCCTTCCTTCCTACTATTTGCTCTCACAAGCTCAGTCTCTCTGTCTCTCTCTCATTCACTTGTAAGTTTCTCTCCTGCTCTGG